GGCTGAAACGCACTATATAGACATCAGCTATTGTCAACCACATGATGACAGTGATTATTTTACATATGGCAGCAGTAACGGTGAGTGCTAGGGTCTCATTTGTACGCCAGCATCTGGCAGGCTGTCACACATCTGCAGAAGATAACCTAAATGGCACTATTAATATGTCCCCTTTGCATTCTCCCCAAGGCATCTGTCTCCCCAAATGCCTGAGAAAGTTCCTTTCCCTCTTGAAGGCCTCGAGGCAAAATTCAGAAAACATGCCACCTAGGCCGGGGAAGCATAAGCTCAGAGTGACAGCTGGCTGAGCCCAGGCAGATTCCCGACTCTCGGATAGATGTGAGGAGGGGAGGGCGACCCCCATCTATGAATTCATTCTATCAGCAGCTGCTTTGCCAGGGAAAAATGTACAGTCAGAGACAGCTCTTCCTAGGCCCACGCAGTGTGTCAGTGTCTGTTCTGGGATCAATGATAGATGTCCAGTCATCGTCCCAAAGGCCAGTTCCCAGTGTCTCTAGATGGATCTCAGTGCCAGAACCTGGTTAAAGACACAGTCCCTAAGAGCCTTCAGGAACTATAGATGTCTCTGTGGTAGGGACTAACAAGGTGTGTACCCATGGCACAAATATCCTTTCCATGTATGTGTGTGAGTTGCATGCCTATATGTGGCTGTTGTACCCCCAGACAGCCTCACACCTCAAAAAGACAGGATTTCCCACTAGCTTATAATTTAGCAATAGGCATGAGTCTATTCTACTGCTGGTATCCCATCTGGGCTATTTTCCCCCAGTTCTGGGGCTCAAACTCAGGTTCTCGCGATAACTGAGCAAGCACTTTATCGACTAACTGGTTTCCTCAGCTTGGCTTTAACACTTTTCCGGTTAAGTTTCCAAGTTTAGGTTGCATAGTGAAGAGTCTCCTCTAGTTCCACTCTGACCACCGACTTCCATGTCACGCTTGCTGTGTGCAGCAGTGGTCAGGTCCAGAATGCTGAATCCATTGGACAACAGCAACGGGTCATCCAGGGCTCCTGCTCTCACGAAATTGACATTCCCATGGGGGCAAACTACAAAAACGCACATGCTACAACATTTCAAATCCCAGTGAACACGATGAAGACAGTAAGAACACAGCGGCTGGCAGCCACTTGGAAACTGGTGGGAAAGTCTCTGATGATAGCTGGCATCAAGAACTCTGGGGACACACTTCCAGACATCGGGGATAGCAGGTGCAAAGACAGGAGGATGGAAGCTCATCTGGGAACAGAAACGTGGGCCGCTGGCTGCAGCAGAGCGGTTGAGGCAAGAGTGACATGACAGGTGTCAGAGGGCGTCAGGGCCCACATGGTGTAGAATTTTCTAGACTCTGGGAAAGGACTTAGAATTGTCAGCTCACTAGAAAGTTGCTAGAGTATTAAGGGCACAGCCAGGATGTCGTATAGGTCCCACGGTAACTGATAGGCAGGGTATACTTTGTGAAGGAGAGGAATCAGGCAGTCGCAGGGGAGGGAGACAACAGTAGTCCACGTCAGTGAGTGCTGGTAGGAGTGGGGATGGGGACATCTCGACTGCCCAATGTTCATTGCAGATGGCTTACGGATGGGCGGGGCTGGGAGGGTGGATGCTGGCAACTGAAGGGTAGAATCAAGGTTGATTTGAGCTGGTATCAGCTCCCTGAGGGCTGAGGCCATGAACTGAGTTGGGAATTACAGCTAAGACTCATGTCTTAGGATGCACCTGGCAGGCATACTCTAGACTAGTGGTACTCGATCTCCCTAGTGCCGCCACGCTTTAGTACAGTTCCTCACGCTGTGGTGACCCCCAACCATAACACTATTTCCATTGCTATCTCCTAACTGGAATTTTGATACCATTATGAATGATAATGTAAATATCTGTGTTTTCTGATGATCTTTGGGGGTCATGACATACAGGTTGAGAACAGCTGAAAAGATCATCTTTCATCACTATAATGAGGTCAAGAACTGACCTTACACACTCAGGAATCTTTTGGACTTTCCCCAATTCTAATTAAGTGGAAGGTAATGCCTATAGTTTTCTTGTTTTGTTTGAGGTGCTGGGAACGAACCTGGGGTCTTGTAGACACGTACCTCCATCCTCAGTTGCGGTGCGGTCATTATTCACCGCATGAATAAATGATTTTAAGTTGCATTTCGGAGCTAACCCACACTTTAAGATTTCCCTTCATAGATGCCAGACATTCCCATTTTGACAGTTCTCTTACCTCTTTCTCCCCAGCCCACTCCTACCTGGATACCTTTGAGTCAGACCAATGGTCTGTTGGCTTGCAAGGAAAGGATACTAAAACTCTGATTGGTTATCTCAAAGTTCCACAGATTAATCCTCAGGTCATCAGCGGACATGTAGGTCTCGTAGTCGCTGTTGACAGAGATGGAGTTGATGTGGTATGTGTGCGCATTGGCAAACACTCTCCGTGGGGTGGCCTCCACCATCAGGTCCATGGGTCTCAGGACGGGCACCTAGGGTACAAGAGGGGCACAGAGCTCAGAACAGAAGCCTTTTCCGGTAGGAAATGGGTTGTGCTGTGTCCTTATCACTGCACGGTAAGTCACAACCCTGGAGCCAAGAGTTATGGGACGGTAGTGGGGACAACATTAAATCTTTGTACACCTGAAACATTTCCCTAGTCCCCTTCAGGGGACTTGAGGGGACACAGTCTTGTAAATTCTCACTCCTAGTCTGTTTGCACATTTTAAAAATGTAAACGTTTTTGCGTTTTGAAAATTTTACACAGGAGTGCTGTGTTTACATCATTTCCGCCCCTGCCTCTCTCTTCATTTCCTCTCACATTCATGACCTCTTCTATGGTTATTATTGCTGCATACTCACACACATGCATGCACATATATGCACACACTTGCACTCATGCACCCAACAGTAAATGAGTCCGTTTACTGTTGCTAATATGTACTTTATTCAGGAAGGAGATTGTGGGACAATCTTAGGAATGAGTCATTTAGCTTCAACCTCAATTCAATTCATCTTTCTTGGGTTCTCACATCACGCCCCTAGAGGCTTGGGTTCCCTCGTAGTAGTTTTGCTCATAACCTTTTATGGGTACTTCTAGGAAAGCATTCCCCACCCCAGGAGACTTTAGTGAGCCCAGATGAGCCATGAGTATCTGAGTTCTTGTTGCATCCTGGTTGGCCTGGGAACAACTTTGTTTACACCTATTGTCCTTGAGTACCAATTAGGTAGTGCCACATTCAAACTTCCCCCCTCCTTTTGGACAGTAAGTTATATGACCACTCTTCTGAAACATAGAAAGTGTCCAGCAAGTTTTTACTGAATAGCTGGATAGAATAAATGTCAGCAAGCATTCTCTTCATGGTGGGCTGGGGAGTTAGGCCACTGAGAGCTCTCTCTGGGAAATGTGAAAGAAGACACCCAAAGAAGCTAAACTACACAGCACAGGCACAGTTCTTTAATAGGAACAGGGAGCTAAGGGGGTCTTTTCCTCTCTCACAGAGACTCTTGTGGCTGATGTGACAGCAGGTGGTAAATTAAGATTAAGACTGGCTTCTGGATCAACGTTACCCCAGGTGGCAAGAAGAGGTGGCGCAAAGCAGGTTGGCTTCCTGAAGGCAGAGTTCTCCTAGCTCCACCTTGGAATTGTTCACAGGCTTCTCTGGCTTCTCTCTCCTCTCCTCTCATCTCTCTCCCTCCCTCTCTCTCCCCCCTCTCTCTTCTCTCTCTTCTCTCTCTCTCTCTCTCTCTCTCTCTCTCTCTCTCTCTCTCCCTCTGTGTGTGCAAATGAACATCTCTGAGAAAACATGAAAAACCATGAAGGTCTAGACAGATGTGGTGCTGGGTGTTCAAGAAGCCAGTGGTGGGGTCTACTGTGTGCCAGGATAGAGGGAGGGGTTATCTCTTGGGCCTCATATGCCAGGCATGGATAGTGATTTTGCAACACATGTGGGGGAGTAGGAGGCCTGTGCTCTGAGCATAAGTAATCACCAACTGATGGGCTGGGATGTATCCCGTGCTCTGGTCATTGGCTGAACCTGCTCTGTCCTCTTCCTTTTGAAGACAGTCATGGGGGTCTACTGAGTCAATCACTATCCACCACTCCTTCAGCAACACCAACTGAGCATTGAACAAAGTCCAAAGGGCTCACCTGGTAAGCACAGGACCCCTGCCTTATCATCAGCTGCCATAGCTGGGGATGCAGGTGGGGCTGTGTGAATGGTTCTCCATGATAATGGAGCAAGTGCCCCAAGGAGGAGGCAGAGTGCACGGTGCTTCCTGTGCATCGTGTGTAGGGACACGAAAGACGAGTGTAAGTCACCAGGCTGGCAAAAAAGGGGGTTCTCGCCAGAGAAACGGGGTTAAAAGTGGGGGTGGTGACAGAGCCCACTGTGAGAGTGAAGGTGACAGGGTGGATTCAGGGTGAGCTTCTAGAAGGGACTCTGCCTACATCAAGAAGGTGGGAAAAATGGGGGCATTTGTGATGACCCAGACATGATCGGGTCAAGTTTTGACCAGACCTTTCAGGAGGTGTAGTAGAGATGAGTCGGTGGGCTGAGCTCCAGCTTTTTTTTTAAATTTCTTTTTTATTTATAATTTTAAATTAGAAACAAGGTTACTTCACATGTCAATCCCAGGTCCCTCTCCCTCCCCTCCTCCCATGCCCTCCCACCAATCCCCCATTTCCCCCTCCCCCATCCCCACTCCTTTCTCCAGGGAGGGTGAGGCCCTCCATGGGGGTGTTCAGAGTCTGTCATTTCATCCAGGGCAGGGCCTAGACCCTCCCCCAAGAATCCAGGCTGAGAGTGCATCTCTCATTGTGGGATGGGCACCTAAAGTCCAATTGTATGCCAGGGTTAAAACCTGATCTACTACCCAAAGTCCCCTAGATTGCCTAGGCCTCCTCACTGACACCCACATTCAGGGGGTCTGGATTGAGCTCCAGCGTCTATAGGTAGGTGAGCATGAATGGACAGCAGCTAAGGTCAAGGGATTGTGTGAGTTGAGGTTTCATAATGGATACAACTAAGCTTCCCCCCATGAGCTTGGCCTTGAAACAGTTACTGAAGCATCAGTGCCTGGCCAGGTGCTCTTCACACAAAATCCCAGATAATTGTTCAACAACTGCACTATAGGCACTGGCACAAAGTAGGATTACAAACAGGAAACAGAGGGAGGCAGAGTTACTGCCCCAAGGTGGCCCAGATACGAGAAGGCACAGGCAGGATTTGCTCTCAGGACCCATCAGGCTGCAAAGTGAGAGCTCTTTCCTCGTCTCTACCAGGCAGGAACATTGCACAGGGTGGGAACCGATCAGTGCTTTAAATAGCCAGGAGGGTTTGTAGAAGAGAGACATTACTGATGTCACGTCACGCTGTGGGAATGAGGCTTCCACAGGCATCACAGATTTTCACAGTAAATGGACAGGGCATCTATGTTGCGTGTTTTCAGAAGCAGCTGCCGCCCACACTTGTACAGTTGGTCATGAAGGTACTCACACATGGGGCCTTTCAGTGCCCCCAGAAGTGCCTGAGTGCCAAGCAGGTACCAGGGAGCAGGGCACTAGGGTCTGTCAGGCTTCCTTGAAATCCTTGACCTCTAACCTGGCCCTTCATGTCTGCATTGGGTCTTCGGATTGCTCTCGTGGCTGTATCCGATGCAGAAGGGAGCGTGACAACAGGATAAAGAGGCATTACAAAGTGGTAGCTGCCAGCCCAGGGCTCTGCCTAATGTGATGAGCCTGGTTGCTAATGCGGGCTGACACAATCCATGATGAGTTGTATAGTGGGGAGGGGCTCAGAGCAGGTGTCTGGGGATGGAGTCCTCTGATGCTCTGTACAAATAGTGTGTGTGTGTGTGTGTGTGTGTGTGTGTGTGTGTATGGTGGGTGTGTACATGTGAGCGTGCATATCTGTGTATGCGTGCATGGCTATGTATGGAGGAAGTCCCTGAATTATTCTTATGCTCAGGTAAAAGCTTGTCCTCTGCCCATAATTGCCTCATAAGGAAGGACCAGATGGGCGGATTAGTCAGCCATGTTGGGACTGTGACTCCCGCATGGTCTGATTGTTCCTTCTGGGGCCGTGCGGGGAGAAGAGGGGGGCATGATTTCAAGAATGACAGACAATGTTTGGGCTTTCTTTTGAGAGTGCTGTTCTGGCAGCCTTACTGTGCTGTGAGCCAGTCATGGTGTTTAGAACCCCAGCCATGATCTCATCCAGCCTCTCTGGAGCCAGTCTTGGAAGGGGCGCCATTTGCCACCCTATGGGGGGGGTATGCAGCCCCAGTGTCACCGAGAGAGCAGGCTTAGCTTTTGATTTTGGGAGAACAAGGTCTTGCTAAGTAGCCCAGCCTGGCCTTGAACCTGTGACCCTCCTGTCTTAGCCTATGAATGCTGGAATCATGAGCAAATGCCCAGCCAGACCTGGCACCACTTAACTCGGCTGAAGCTTTTATCTGAGGCTTCTTGGCAGCTGCTGAGACTGCACCTAGGGTGACCCAACCTGGGAAGCAGCAGTGTCCTTTCTAGGCCAGCTTGTAACCCTCCTTCCTACTCTGCTCAGGTTCCGCATCTTCCTGAGGCTGGTTGTGCATCTGAGCATCCTTACACACTTGTATATGTGATACTGGGAGGAAGCATCACAATCCCAGTTTTCCTGGGCGCTTGACACCCTGTTATAGTCACAGTCACGGATTGATGTCCCTGGGGACAAAAGGCAGCCTGAGTCTGACCTGTCATAGGCTTACAGAGAGTCACTACACTCAATGCCCCTTTCCAGCGGCAACCGTCTCAGACAGACCTTCTATGGACATCCCACACTTAAGTGACACCCATTATCTACTGCCAGAGATGTTTGAAACACTAAGTCAGTCATCAGTGAATTATCTTATCCCTAAGGGACAGATAAGAAAGGCGAGGCACAGAGTGGTTGAGTAATTAATCTGCAGTCACACAGTTAGCCCGAGGCAGAGCAAATACACCTGTACTCCTTGGCTCAGGCATCAGCCTGACTCTCTGTCCTCCTGGCTCTGTACCAGGCTGCATGGATACTTGAGGAGGGGGTGCTGAGCTGGACTGGAGTCCAGTGTGAACTTCCCAGGAGCTATCACCCAAGCGGCCTTGTATCTCCTCGGGAGGTGGAGGCAGAACCAGACAGGAGAGGATGCTGATGCAAGACCGGCTAGAAGCAGGGTTATGGTGGAGTGCGTATGCTCCTGAGAGTTGGGCCAGTAACTTAATTATTCACTCAACAAACACAATTAGATCTCTTGTCTGTAGCAGGCGCGTCTCAGTGCGTATGGAGTCAAGCTTGTTTCGGTGGCATCTCTCTCTCTCTCTCTCTCTCTCTCTCTCTCTCTCTCTCTCTCTCTCTCTCTCTCTCTCTCTCTCTCTATTATGCTACTCGACATGGCTTCTCCAGCAAGGCTTCTCCGAAGGGTGCCGTGTGAGCCGATGCGAGAAGGACATGAGGCAGGGGAACCCACAGATGCA